TGATGAGGCAAGGAGCTCATTAGTATGATCTCAAGCTCTTCCCCTGACCCCGTCCATGTCAACAAAAGAGGGGATCACTTTGTTGATGAGATCTGGAGATTGTATTCGCAATTGAGGTTTTTCTTGCTTTGGGCACTGTAAGTGGGAGGGTGTAAAGGAGTTCTGCACCTTCAGCTGTGGGCAAGTGGGATGAGCTAACACAAGATGGATCCTGGAGTTCGAGAAGCAGTTGTTAAATGTAGCAGGTGTGGGTTTATTCTGCCAAGTCACTGCTTGAATGGAGAACACAGGTAGGTGGTGACATGAAGTCCTCACACCCTCCCTGAGCTGCGGCAGGAATTGCTTAGGTGCTGAGGTGCGTGATCGCTATTCTGGAGAGCTGCTGATGGATAGAGTATGCTACTCAGTAGAAGACAAAAATAAAGGTTGTTCTGGTGTGTAATTAAGTTTTTCTTTCTGCCAGAGACAGTTACCGAGCATAACATTTTTGTGGGGAAAAGATACTGAGGAAACTTTTATTTGTTTCTTACAGAATCATAGGGATTGGAAGGGACTTGTGGAGATCATGTAGTCCTGCTAACGCAGCTTCCCTACAGAACCCTGTGACAGACAGACTCAACATGTGGATTCATGACAAAGCATGCCTATTCTTAAGTAGCACTGATTCTGCTCGGCTCTGCCTGTAATCTCCATTGTAGATCTCAAAGCAATCTTTGTTTTTGTTACCCTTAATGCTTTAAAAATCTGAGTCTCAAAGAAGTGATGCATTTCAATTACAGATATGTCTAAGTGCCTCAGTTGCATTGGTAGCCATCTTGCTTCCCTGGTATCGGATCCTTTGCTCTACTGCAGCTAGGCTGCTGCAGCTGTGTGTCTCTGAGGTCTCCTGTCTGCTTCATTGCCTCACTGTGGTCCTTAGTTCTGTTTTGCAAGAATGTGCAGGGGGTTAATTAAAATTTATATTTTCTTTAAGATCCAAAACTCTTATTTTTAGTCTTGAAAATAGGCTTAAGTACATAAAAAGACTTTTCTGACAGTTTGATGAACCATTATTAGGGGTAGGAAATCAAGATGTGGAGGCTTTCACGTCATCTCCTTAATCATATAAAGGGCAGAAGGTTCTTGTAAAAAGCTGGTGTCCTCCTATAGCTGCACACGACCACTTCATTGTCCCCTCCCAGTCTTTCCCCTAGCTGTTTCCAAAACTTCTCTTTCCTTATCCATCCACTTTTCTTCCCTCCTGTAACATGCTGACCTTTAGCACTGCCCCAGATGTCTCCTTCTGTGCCCGCTACATGCATTGTCAGCTGCACACAGATTGCATATCCCCAAATCAATTTTAAGGAGACATTGATGGAGGTGGATTTCAGCAAAATGCCTACTGTTCATTTCTGGGTTTCTGCCAGGATGGGTTTCAAGTGTTCACATTCCATCTAGAAGGCTCATTCAAGGTCTAAAGCCAGGCAGATGCTGTAAGGACCAGCACATCAGAGAAGCATTTGGGCTGGGCTTTCTGACCCTGTTTGTCACAGCCTTTGGGAAGGGTAATGTTATTCATAGGTGATATGTAAGCACTGACTGCAGTCATCAGGAAGACTGCTTGTACTGGGTTACCCAAGTCACATGGCTGAAGTGAGCTAGAGGATGGTTAAAATAATAGTTTAGTCCTTAATTGTACCAAAAAAAAAAAAAAAGGGGGGGGGGGGGGGGGG